AAGCCAGGATTTTGAGAAATGACACATTCTTTGGCTGTGGAATAGAAGATATTTTTAAATGGAGTGGAGCCTGTATGTTTTTTTCAGAAGTGGATACCTACAAGGGAATGAACACTAATTTCACCACTTGGTGCACCCAGTATCAACCACAAAAGAATCCAAGGAATAAATTGCAGGACATAAATTGCACAACCCTTTAGAAATTTCACACCTGTTGAAGTAGTTTTCAGGTTTTTCATTGTTTAAAATATTCTTCTTCACCTTTGATTAGTATAACAGCACAGCAGAAACATCAAAACTTCATTAGCCGGACTTGCTGCGTGATCTTAGAGTTTAAACATATTAGATTACCTCAGATGTAAAGTGAGACATATTTATAGAGCAATAGGAAAAAACACTGCTGTATCTTACAGGTAGGAGAGTATTTGTGCATAGAGAAAAGCAAAAAAAAAATTGAGTTGTGAAAATTGTAGCTCTTGCTAATTATAAGAGACAGAATTTATGAAGTGTTGTATTAAATCCTGGGGGGAATAACAGAAACTTTACTAAAAATAATACATTGTTCAACATACAGTGTAAATAAATATGTTGAAAACCGGTTCATGGAAACTTCCCTTGACATACAGAAAAGAGTGAAAATTAACTGAGCAGACATTGGGATGTCAGACTTTGTGGATTTGTCTCTTCAGAAGGAACATTTGGTAACAAGTACTTTGCCATTTATCATTACCAACTATAATTGAAACTGGGGCAACTCAACACTTTGTTCTGAAAGTGTGAAAGCTGTGTCATCAGGTATTGGGCTAACACAACAGAGGGCCTTAATGTTCACTGACAAGAAAACTATGGAGTATTTAACAATCCTCATCAAAACTCTAGGTAGGTTATTAAATATGATGGTAGAATATCTGTGTAGAGGAAGAAAGCTCAGCTATAGATTTGGTATATTTTTTAGTAGTGCATCCCTTGCAAAGGTCTTCTGGGTGCTCTTGTCACAGATACACACCAATAATTCTATTTTGAGATTCAAGCATTAGTCAGACATATTCAACTGATTACAGGAGAATGAGGGCATATCTAAATTCTAGAGCACGAAATCAATTTTGCTGTTACATGTAAAGAGTAGTGATTAAGGAAAGACAGAGTTACTGTTTTTAAATTATTCTAGTTCTCCAGGATGAGTTTTTTTTGCTCAGTGGTTTGAAGAGTGGCTGCTGTCATCCTCATCTATCTTTCTTGCAGAAGGACATGATGGCTTGCTGTGAGCCTACATCCTGAAGAATACCAGCTCTTTAGCTGGCTTTCCATTTCTAATTTGGTTTCTACTAAATGCTTTTCTTCTTCACCTATCAGACCCTTCTGTTAATAACAACATTCAGATAAACTGCAAAGACTGATATAGAATGAGAACTGAACATTAATTTTAGGATATGGTCTTGACATTTACAGATGCTCTGTCTGATGAAGAGGTTGGTAGTCATCTCAGTCACCAAGATCCCCTCTACAGACAAGGGAAAGAGTTCATACTTCAGGAAGGTCATGCCTTCCGTCTAAAGACAGGGGGTTAAAGTACCTTTCAAGGTGCCTGACTCTCCTCCATCAACTGTAGAGGAGATCAGATGACAAGCTTTCACTGTGTGTCTGGGCTTTTGGTCACTACAAATAAGGTAATTCCCCAGATGAAATGAGACAATTCCCGTCTTTGGAGTCCAGAACTGCTCTTTATATGTTCTCTCCTGGTGAGAAGGAGAGTTTGGATAATTAGCTGTGCTGAGGGAGAGGATTCATCTCAACCAATACTGAAGAAAGGTGTGGCATCTGTGGTTTCCTCATTTTAAGATACAGAAACCTCCGAAGCATGAAATGAACAGAAAGATGGGGTGGATTGTTCTGTGAAGATGTCCTCCTTTTCATAAAGAAAAATATCTTTTGTAGTCAAACCTCTAAATGGTGAAAGTTAAGTGAGCTGAATCTCATTAATATGACAGCTCAGCTTGAAATGAGTCACTCTCCTGGGTGTTAGTGTCAAAGTGGGGGGGCTGCAGAGGTGGCCTCTGTGAGGAGAGATCAGGGGCTACAGCCCATCCCTACAGACTCCAACAGACCCCCTGGCAAAACATGGCCAAGCTGTTGGTTCCTCTGGGAAAACATGTCTAAAAATGGGCAGAACGCCACAGGGAGAGGGGGAGGGAACAAAATTGTGAGAAAAAGCAGAGATAACACAAAACATCATATGAGCAGGAGGAGGAGGAGATGCTCCAGGTGCCAGAGCAGATATCCCTTGCAGCCCATGAAGGATCCATACTGCAGCAAAGGAAAAATATGAGAAGGAGGGAACAGAGAGAGCAAGTGCTGTGTACTGACCAAAATAACCCAGCCCTGTGATGCAGGGCTGCAGCAATGGAGAGGAGGGTGGAGAGAACCTAAGTCTGAGAAAAGGGGACAGAAAAGTGGTTTTTAAATGCTTGCATTTTTGTTTTCCATTACTAGAATTACCAGTTATGTTTTGGGGTTTGGTGGTTTGTTTTTTGATTTTTTTTTCTTGGAATATTTCAGTTAATTTTCCCAAAGTTGAATCTGTTTTGACAGTAACTGGTAGGTGAACTCCCTGTCTTTTAACTTCTGAGGTTTTTTGCTTCTTCTTATTTTCTCCCCCACATCACCAAGGGGGTGGTGTGAGCAAGCATCTGGTGGGTGCTTGGGTGTTAGCCAAGGCTAACCCACCAAAGCAATATTTACCTTTATTATTATAAATTAACTTCATGTGCCTTTTCTAGGGAAGAAAAAGAAAAAAATAATCCAAGTGTAAAATGTTGCTTTGAAAAATACAGTAGAATTCCACATATGTTATCTAATACATGGGAGAAATAGCTAAAATTCAGATAATGACAATATTTCCTTTTCCCAGATATTTCATGAGGGAAGATTAGAATAGTCTAAGAGAAGGTGAAACAGCTTTGGCAATATCAAAATATTTCCAGATGTATGTGCAGAATATGTGAAAACCTATGCTAATGTATGCACGAACTCAAGTGGCTGTCAGATTTGCATTGTAAGATGAATAATTGAATTGGGAATGTATTTTACATTCAAAATTCTAGTTTTCTGATTTTTCACTTCCTCTGAAGTAACAGAAGAGCAACAGCCTTTTCAAAAACTGTAATAAATCAACTGGAATTTTTGGTTTTGATTTGGGGAGACAAAACATTTAATTTCTGATTTCATCTTTTCAAGAAATACTATAATAATTTTCACTTTAAAACAGCTTCTCAAAAATGTTAAAACTGGGCTTTTCTATATCATTGCATTTCTTTCCGAAATGAAAGGCTGTCAGTACTGACATGTATTAAAAACATGTCATGAGGAGTGTGTATACCACTTCATCAGGAAAAAAGCTTCTGTTTAAAATATTCTGACTGACAGACCATTTATCTCAGGCCACCCTTTTAACCCTCTCTGCCATCGAGGGCAGAGCAGATTTTCTGTTTAGAAACAAGATGCAGTGGCCTTCTTGGTTGTAGTCACAGAAGTCTCCTCCTGGGTAGTGATGATGGCTACATGGCAAAAGCTGTAACCTTCTCTCAGCTGTGCCTGTTCCTCTTTCTACCAGGACTCCCACCACACTGGCAGGGCTGCATTCCTTGTGAGTCTCCTTTATCCTTTTCTCACTGAGAATGAGCAAACACCCTGGTGCTGACTTTCTCTTAAGTGCTAACCATGGTATGATGTTTTGAGAACTGGAGCACCTTGCAAAGAGTGCTCACCGACCGCTGTCGGGTACAAAGAAGGTATTCAAAACAAACTTTTGGGTGGCTCTTTTGCATTTCTGCCACGGCTTTTCATTCCTTGTTTTAGGCCAGGACCAACAGAGCTATTCTGAAGTGCCTCAGCAAACATATGGTGCATGTGCTGTTTCCATCATTAACCAGCCAGGCGGCAGGGAACGAGCGCCTGCTTGAAAACATTGTGGGAATGGGATTCCTGGTTCTGGGGGTGCAGGCTTCTGTGACTGAGGCTGGATATGCCTCCTTGCCAGCTAATATCTGGACAGAGCCAGAAATTGTGTATTATAAGGCCTAAGTATAATTTTGACACACATCACCTGTTGATTCCCTTCACCACTGGTTATATTTTCTCTTGTTAGAGACACTACCCACAGAAACAAGCACTCATACTGGGCTTTTCCAACCGTGGTGCTGGTGTTACAGAGCTGACATGTTGTGTGCACCCTGCCAGCTTGTTGACAAAAAGAGAGAAAATGTAATTTAATACAGATGTTTGAGTGCAAAATGCATCAGCAACACTTCAGCCTTCTTCTTTCAGTCCTGTCAATCAAAATATCCTCTCCACCAGATAAGTTAACATGCCCTGAAAAAATGCCTGGTTTTGACAGGCATGTGTGATTATTTTCTCTGTTTTTTTTCTCTGTTCCTTTGGCCTATTCAAATGTCTGTTTGTTCAGAAGACTACAGCCCTCCTCATTCACTCTAGTGATGAATTCAGATGAAGTTGTGGCCTCACTCCCAGGTCTTTAAAATCTTTGGGTGTAAATGAGTAATTTCAGCTGCACAGTGGATCCCTATGTACATCTGAAATCAGTTTTAAGTGTGAAGATATCAGATAAATATATTTGCATTTTTGAAAGCTTGATCTCAAACCATTAGTTTATAGACTCTTTTTTAAAATGTATTTACACTTGAAGAGATGTGGTCTTCACAACAAGTTCTGATCTCACCACTACCTTTTCCATTTTCCTGTCTTTTTGATAACAAACGGTGTCTATTTGTACTTATTTCACCTCCTACCTTCTGTAAAATATCCCATTTAAAGTTGTAAATGAATCTGCCCTTGAATAGATGTTATACTTTGGTGTCCTGAACAGGAAACTGATGTAGGAATGCACATTATGTGGACCAACAGTAGTTTAGCTTTTTTTTACTGAACCTTTTTTTTTTTGTTATTTCCATATAGATAATTTTTATTCTCTCATTCATATATTTTTCAAATGGGAAAAGAAATATGTCTGGAGACTATCTGATGCTGCTGTGAGTTTCTAGCTGGTGTGATTTCTCTAGTACTAATTTCTGAATTCAATATAGCTAGGCCCCCTGTCAGCAGGCAAATAACATCTTTATGAGACTTTCAATCCAGTTTCTAATTTATAATGTTTTTCAAGAAAGAAACTGGCAGAGAGAGTCAGCTATATTTTGACCTTGCTTATACTGAATGTTTGTAACTATAGTGAATTTGAGATCATCCTGATGAGCAGGAAGATTTATTATCTGTTCAGTGAGAATTCCTAGGCTGAGCTTTCTCTGCCAATAAACCTTGATATTCATCTTGCCTAATTCTTTGTGAAATTAATGCAGAAAATTATTAAGGCAAAAAAGATCGTTTGACTCACTGTAAGTTTATAATGAGTGATACAGGATGACGTAATTTGAAGGGGGTAGAAACCATTCTGTTCTATGGTGGTTTTCCTGGATTCCATGACAAAGGAGTGAAGTAGAATGCTGGGCCCAGGATAGGTACATGGTTTTGGCAATGGCCAATGAAGTTTTCATTCTGCTTCAGATGGAGCTGTCCTGATGTGAAATTTTATTTTTGAGCAATGTATTACAGCATGAACAACAGTGCTAAAAATATAGCCGCTGTTAAAAATATAGACACTGTTGTGTGCAGAAGCCTCATTAGGACAAAATTTTGTTAGCTAAGTGTGTCTGGAGAGGAGTCCCAGAGACTCTCTGGACCCCACAGGACTGTCCAGAAAAAGGAACCATAAACCTGTCTTTAAAAAGATATATTTGAAAAAGAGAAATAGAAGACAGAGATGTAACTGTCACTGGAAACCATGGCAACAGGTGGGGAAATCTCAAAAGAGCAGAGAATGCAGGAACTTGTTTTAAGACTAAAATGTATTAATCTCTTTTCTACGAACTCCCTGTCATCTAGGGAACATCCTTCTGCAGCCCGCAAATGTTCACATTGTGGAATGTTTTGGAAACATGTTAATTTACTTGAAAGATTTCAGACATGTAATTATGAGGAGGTATCTACACAGAGCAGCTGCACTGGGGTGAAGATGTACAGACAGAGCAAATGAGCCCCAAATGTGCTTTACAAAGCTCCATGCTAATAGATCATAAGAGTACCAGACGTGTCCCTGAAAGGGGAATACAGAATCCTCTGGGGTCAGGGAACCCTGTCCGTGTGTCCACGCCAGGTTGGTGGGTGACAGGACACAAGGGTACCCAGTTTGTGCACACGGTGGTTTCTTTGCACTGCCTCTGACTCCAGCTGCTGGTGACAGTGTGGGGAAACTTAAGTGCCTCCCTGAGATCTCTCAAGTTTAAGGAAATTGATTATTAATCATCCATTTAATTCTACTCATCTTCCTCATTATTATAGCAGGGCTAAATGATCATGTTTTAATTTATGGAGCTGTGTGTAACATTTGTCAGTGTCTTGCTGCTTTTACTCTCAGAAATGTGACACCACAATCTTCTTTGCTGGTAATATTTTGAAACCATGTTACATATCAGAACTAAGCACGAAGTCTCTGTACTTTTTAGTGGGATAAATGATCTGTCTTGGAATTTTTTGTATAAAGATGATGAGACATGTTTCTCAAAACATATGAACACCATAATCCTAGATCTCTGGTTTATATGCTTTTGAAAGATTTAATATAACACTGAAAACAAAAGCATTTAAAAGAGAATGAGGCAAAGTCAATATATGCACTTGCACATAGTTTTCTTTTTTATCCCCTATATTACAGAAAACCTCCAGCATTATTAAGAAATTGTTTAACTTCTTAAAATGCGTCAAAATTATAGATTGATGGACGAAAAGTCCAAATATTTGGACAGAAAAAATTTCATTTAAAGAGTCTGAGAAATCATAGACATGAAATACAAAACGAAGAACATATTGCTGGTTTTCTTTTTTCTAGTAATATTCAAGCTGATAGATCATCCAAAGATTTTACCCAATTTAGGGGGGCCAAAAATCATCATTATGCAGGAGATCATAAGTGTATTGTGGCATTTAAGCTTCCATTTGGGTATTTTGCTCCTGATCCATGTAGATTCCTAAATATCTCAGTGATTCCATCCAGAAACCTGTGTTCATCCAAAAGAATAACTGATATCCTGATGCTGATCCATCATCATCCTGGAGGAATTGCTGTCCCCCAGATAATCTGAATGTATTCAGAATCAAGCAATGTAAAATTCATTGCAGTATGCACGCTTTCAGACAATTTACGATTAGAGAGAAGTACTAATGTGCTTTTATCTTTTTCATTTGTTTATTTGTTTCTTCTCACTGAAGAAATCTGACTGGAGGTTTTTGAACAGGTTGCCATTCTTGCGGACTGTAAATGTTTGTTCCTAGAGATTTTTGTAATGCTGCTGTCTCCCTCCAATCTAACTTTCTTTCTTTACACAGATATCCTGTCGTTTGTCTTTGTGCTGATGGCAGCAAAACATGTCTATCAAGTAAACTCCTTTCCCTTAACATTTAATTATCTTTAAGTTGGTGTCGTGATCATCAATTGTTCCATTGACTGTCTCCTCTAAAACTGACTGAGAAAACGACATGTCCCAGTTGACAGCCTATTTTCCAAAAATAACAGCATGAAAAAGGAAGAAAGGCTGATCTTAAACCGTGTTAAGAAGTCCTGCTTAGCCTGCAATTTAATAGAAACTCTGTCATGGGACATCTGGGAGCTCAGCTGAATGATATTTTTAAAACAGCAGGAGGCCAGTATGTTTTTCTGGTAAGTTTTGATGAAATAACAGATAAAATATTGGCTCCTTTTGAAATAATTGGGATGTTCACAGTAGAGATCAGTGCTAGTTTTAAATCAAGGGAAAACTCAATATTGAGTGTTATGCCTTGAGTCTTTGGGACATAGTACTGTGGATCACTCGTGGTCACTTTTTAAAATTTTATATTAGGAACTGGTGCACCTATATAATACTCACACCAAATCCTGAACCTAGACCATTAATCTGGTGTTCTCCTGGCTCACCTAAGTCAGGAGATTTGTTTGCCACCGTGGCTGCAGCAAGTCCCAGTACCCGAGGAGTGTGGGTGCCAGCAGGCAGTGGTGTCAGTGGAGATCCCCTCCAGGGCACAGCCCAGGGCACATCCCAGGGCACAGACCCCACAGCCCCCCAGCATTGTCAGGAGCCAAGTGCTGCAGGCTTCAGACAAGGTTATCTGCCATCAGCGTGCCGCAGGATTGCTGGTGAAACACTCCCGGCATCTGACTAATTTACAAAACCCACTACAACTGATCAGGTGACCGATCCAACACCAAAAGATAAACAACATTAAAAACTGGGAGAAAATTCCTAAAATAGAAAGTATGAGCACATGTCTGCATATAGCTCGACAGATGGCATCTCTTTAAACAGGGTTTGTCCATATGGCAAGCAAGTAGATTGAATCTGAGTGCTGTATAGGATCCCAATGGAGCAAAACCCAATTTTTTTTAGTTGAAGAGTGTATGCTGTATATCTCACTTATGCTTCAGATGACAACATAAGCAATTTTATGCCATCAGCTTCTGGCTGTAGCTGCAAATAATCAGAGAGAGGGAAGAGATGAAGAAACATCAACTTATCAGCGCATTAGGAAACTCTCTGAGTGAGGGTTTGAATAAACATAAATGAAGAACAGGAAAAAATAGACATTCAAACCCTAAAGTAGTTTTCATAAACAGTTTAATAATTTAATAGTTGGCTAAGAGAAAATGCCATTACTGGAGCTGCTCGACCCCCCAGTCATTAGCACTGACAGCCAGCAGAGTCCTGCAGTATCAAAAAGCCCATGACAGTTCAGAAAGGCTGCTGAGGACATGAAGTCTCTCTAATACTGCAGGTGTGTGCCAGGTAGAGAAGATTTCTGATTCACAATAAGAACATCCCTTGTCTATTGATCCCTCACAGGAGCTTAAGCATTCAGCTCACACACTGGTTGCTGCTCCTGAGCTGCAAACCCTTCTCAGCAGAGATACTCCAGGCACAGAGGAGAGGTTGTAGCCGAGGATGTATTACCTGCTGTGGCACAGGGATTACACTGCTTACACAGGAGGGAGCCTACCTGGCAGCCTTACACTGCAGGAGAACTGGGAAGAAGCCAATTTTATCTAGGGAGAAAACTTTAAATGTAGTTTCACCATTCATTTCAAACCAGAAAGTTTCCATTCCCTTTGAAAGGAAGCATAGCAAGGCTATGATGCTTGAAAACAAAGAAAGAGGGTGTATCAATATGAAATATCTTTATTTTAATGGAATTTAATTGATGACAAGTTCAATCAATCTCACTCTTTGGTGTACAAAGTATTGAAAAATATTTCTCTTTTTTAAGAAAAAAAATAGAAAGAGGTGGGTTTAGATGTTTCTTAGCTGAATAAACGTGTGTCTGTACATTTGGTAAAATGGCAAATTAAATATAAATAGTTTATATATTAAGCCTTCTGCAGTTATTCACATTTTCAATTCTGTTTAACAAACACTTATTGTCCCTTTTTACAGACAATATCATCTTTGGAACCAAGAAAAGAGAAAAGGTTGCATATTGGAACCTCTCTGGGAAAAAATATACCTGAACTCACCTGTAAAAAACCAAAAAGGCTGATGTCAAACTGTTGTGCTTTTACTGATATACTTCATTAATGAATGTACCAGTTAAAGTAACACTGGACTATCAAAGAAATTGAGAACAGAACTTTATTTTCAGGCTTAATTTTTTCCTTTCAAATGAAACATGAATCTGAGCACATTTCTGGTTATTTGTAACCACCTTTGCCTGCAGTAAAGCCTGAATACACAGATTGCAGCACGCGCATACTGTCTTGAAGACTTTGGAGGCATCTTGAGGGCAATAAGGTGTCTATGCAAATTATGGTGGAAAACACTAATAAAAGCCTGTCTTCAAAACATCATTAATTTTTTTCTAAATCTCTTGTTTCTGAGTCCCATGCAAGGCTAGAATGTATGCAGTGAATGAGAATTCAGTCATTTACCATTCAGCTACCAAATCCCATAAAGTCTGATGAATTTCAGGTTCCACCCATCCCAATTTTTATGATTCTCCACAAGTACATGAGGCATAATTTTATATTCTTTAGAAAGAGGCACCCCAGAACAATTAAGAGGCTAATGAAAGATCTTGCCAAACCGATTTCAATCAATTACCAGCAGTCCTGGTTGAATGGATAAGCCCCAGTTGACTGGAAATTGGGACTGTGATGCCCATCTACAAGAAGGGTCAGAAGAACAACCTGAGGAACTCCAGGCCTGTCAACCTGACATCTGTGCCAGGGAAGGTCATGGAGATGGTCATTCTGAATGTCATTGTGTAGCATAAGCAGGACAGTCAGACCAGATCCAGCCAATGTGAGTCTGTAAAAGGCAGGTCCTGCTTGTCCAACCTGGTCTCCCTCTATGATAACGTGACCTCCTTATGAGATGAGGGAAAGGCTCAAGGTGGATGTTGTCTAACTAAACTTCATGAAGGCCTGACACTGTCTCGCACAATATTTTCCTGGAGAAACTGGAAGCGCAAGGGTTGGAGAGGTGTACCCTTTGCTGGGTGAAAAACTGTCGGGATGGCCAGGCCCAGAGAGTGGTAATGAATGGAACTAAGGCCAGCTGAAGACCAGCCACCAGGTGGGTTCCCCAAGGCTCATTACTGGGGGCAGTCCTGTTTCATATCATATTTTTATCAGCTACCTGGGTGAGGGGAGTGAGGGCACCCTCAGTCAGTTTGCAGCGCAGACACCATGCAGGAGTGTTGTTCTGATGGATGGTGGGAAGGCTCTGCAGAGGGCAGAGCTGGATTGATGGGCTTGTCCAGCCCAGGAATGTTGTATGAGGGTCAGCAATGTGAAGTGCCAGGTCCTGCACTCAGGTTGCAACAATCCCACACAGCATTACTGGCTGGGGACAGAGTGGCTGGAAAGCTGCCTGAGGGAAAAGGGACCTGGGGATGCTGTTTTACAGCTGCATATGAGCTTGCAGTTTGCCCAGGTGGCCAAGAAAGCCAATGGCATCCTGGCCTGTATCAAGAGTACTGTGGTCAGCAGGACCAGGACAGATATTGTCCCTCTTTACTTGGCACTGGTGAGGCCACAACTCAAATCCTGTGTTCAAGTTTGGGCACTTCACTCCAAAAAGGACATTGATGTGCTGGAGTGTATCCAAAAAAGAGCAATGAAGCTGGTGAAGGGTCTAGATCACTAATTTTTTTAGGAGAGTTGGAGGGAACTGGGGTTCAGCCCGGAGATGAGGAGGCTTGGAAGAACCTCTGCTCTCTGCAACTACTGTAAAGGAGATTGTAGTGAGGTGGGGGACAATCTATTTTGCCATGTCTCAGATGAAAGCGTGGGAGGAAATGGCCTTAAGTTGCACCAGGGAAGGCTAAAATTAGATATTAGGAAACATTTTTTCACTGAAAGAAAATTTAGGCACTGCATTATGTTCGCAGGGAGGTGCTGGAGTTGGAAGGCTCTGGAAGTGTTCAAGAAGTGTCTGGATGTGGCTCTAGGGAAAATGGTTTAAGTGTGATTATGGTGATGCTGGGCTGATGGTTGGACTAGATGATCTTGAAGGTCTCTTCCAATCTTGGGTATTCTGTGATTCTGCAAAGAATGGGTGCTATTGCTAACTATAACTACCATTAATTATCAAAATTAGTCATCAGCCTACTGTTACGTTTTTTTCAAATCTTTCCTGTTCATCAGACACAGAAAGTATATTTGACCTTTCAGACTAGAAAATGAGGCTCAGGAAACTGTTCATCTTTTCAGCACAAAGAAGGCTGAGGATTGGTAATTCTATCCTTCTCTCCTTTATTATCTATAGAAAGAGGATGTAAACTTGGAAATGTATAACAGGCTGGTGAGTCATGCTTATTAACAGATATTTAGCCAGGCTCATTTGCTTAACCTTAATGCTTGTCACATGTCTTGCTACAAACTTCACTGTGCATTATAAAGGATTTGACATCATAGAAGTAATTATTCCAAAATGATCCTGATAGATTAAAAAAAAAAAAAAACGAAGGTAATTTGGTCCTAAACCCAACATTCTCTAATGAGACAGTTTCTGGGTCTGCAAATCCATAGTCATGTTTTATTTATAGCCTGCCTATGATTCATCATTAGAGTTTCTTTCAGATTTTGAAACAAAAATTGTTCTTCCATACACGAGTGTTTTTGGATAACCACAGCTGCTCCTCACCAGCTTCTCTTTCAATAGCAGAAAGCCTAACACTGGTATTCTTATGCATCTTTACTCCTATCTGCTGAAATTCAAACATATTTCCACACACACAATCAATCCTATTGTGAGGAATTCAGGCAGCAGCCACTGCAGCCAGCATTTGGCTTGTCAGCAAAACCCCTTTTCGTTCCAAAGAGGAACAGCTGATGGAATGAAACTTTGCTCTTGGCTAGAAAGCTTTGAAAGGTTTGTGCTGTCCCAGCTCTGCCCTGGCTGTGCCAAAATGCCTCTGAAGATGTTTAAAGCAATTGTTGGAAACTCTTCTGGGTAGGCAGCAAAGAAAGGCAGGATAATGCTTAGCCCTTCTGCTGCTTTGGCATTGAGGGCTGCAATTTGAATTTTTCTGCATATTGCTTGCTGGGTGGTAAAAAGATGAATGGTCTAAAGTGATTTGTCATTGAGAGAATTATTTCTGGAGGTTTTGTGGTTGCAGTTAACATTTCTGCTCTCTTGATTTAAAAGCTTTCTCTGCAAATGGACAATTTTACAGGTTGTTTAAGGAACAGAGCTTGAGCTAAATATTTCTGGTAATCATGTCTCGAGGATAAATTTTGGTCATGTCTGCACACACATTTCTTCCTACATATACCAAGTAAGGTTTGTTTCCACTGGGATAAAACCCTTAACTTAAAACCCTATGTGCTCTTTCAGGATCTAATCAGACTTGAATGGAGAGAGACTCTGAGTTAATGACCAGCTCACCTACTCTGGCATTTCTTACTGTGCACCTTTACAGACGGTGCTGGAGAACTGAGGCTACAGCTCCACACATGTGACTGGTGCAGCCACATCAAATGGAATTGGTTTGCTCATCTCACTGTTGGAGATGGGTACAAATAAAACTTTGATCGATGCCAGAAGGGATGCTGAGGTGATTGAGTGACAATGTAGTTTTTACTGCACTTGCGGCATTTTGTGTGTTGAAAACAATTGAAACACTGTGGCTGTAATCAGCACATCTGGGGAACTCATAAGATGAGTTTGTAATCTTGGCCTAAGGTTGTAACATGAATGCTTTTGTCACTTATACTACTGGCAGCTGACTGCAGTCTGGCAGCTTGGAGAAGGCAGAAAAAGCTGTAGGGAGTAGTTAAGTGGATGACTTTTGACTCTCTGTAAATAGAAAAGGAAAAATTGAGGTTTTTGAACAGTCCTATGACTCCAGTATTTGCAAGTCTGCTATTTCATTCCTGTGGGCTGCCAGAATACTTATCTTTTTCAAGAATATCTTCATTCCTCTTTCAAGAGTATTATGATTGTATAGACCTACAAAGGAAAACATCCCAAACTGCATGGGTACTTTGTCTACTGCCCATAAAAATAACATACACCCATGAAAGTAGAGCAGCTTCACATAAATTTTGCTTTTCTCATTTTGAACTACGCGTTCATACTTACTCCCTAAATATACATCTGAAAAAAAAGTCATCAAGAGAAAGAGATTTCTTTTCAAGAGAGAAGGTATCACAGATGAAATACTCATACTGGGATCACTTTTCTGCTGTTGGTAATCCTATATTCAATGTGTTTGGGAGGCAAATACATGCATTTTCTATTTGTTTTGCATGTTCACAGTGAAACACACATGTACATAATTTCTGTACCTCTTTTAATGTTTTCAGCATAAACTTGTTTTCTATAAATTTATTTCCTGTGCCATATTTGTATGGAGATTACCTCTTAAATATGCTAAGTGGAGAAGTCAGAGCTCTCTTTATTTGTTAAATGAATTAGCGTTAGAGGTTCTGTACAATTCCAACACTAAAAACATGAGGGAGGGAGGGAGGGAGGGAGGGAGGGAGAGAAGCAGTTAGAAACATCCAAAGAAAAGTATTTTGCATATCAAAAATCACAGGGTTGCTAACAAAACTCAGCTTTTCCAAAAAATTCCATGTGAAGGAGTTAACTTAGTTTAAGCTAAAATATAAACTCCTTTCTCACTGCCTCACCAACTGCAGAAAATAGATTAAGTATTTCTTTAAAATGTGACCTTAGAAATCTGAACCTGGGAATTGGTGGTAAGTGGGGGAACAACTGAAGGTCTTTGAGCTCTGATTGGGTTGGGTAAAGATCCGTGTGTATTTGGATACGTAGCTGAAACTGATCCCATCTTTGCTTTGCTCTCTTCCCATTTCACAAGACAGACTTTGGGCTGTCCTGCTTCTCTGAACAGACAGCTAAGGTTCAACATACAGACTGTCTCCCTCCCTCTCTCCCTCAATTCCCATTCATCTCCTGCCACGTTTAGCTCTTCCCTTCTGGATACGTGCACCACTTTCATGACTGCTACTGCATGACTGAGCATATATCCAGGGCTTCATGAAAAGCTCTGATCAGGATCTGATTTACAAATGTGATACACAAGTGTGTACACATTTGTGTGATACACAAGGGTTTACAGCCAGGGGAGAGGGGAAGTCTCACCTGCAAATTTATGACTTTTAAAGAAAACCAGGTTGGGTACCTTTTGTGCATGAGGAAGGCTTACAGTAATCTTAAATTTAGATGAATAAGGGGAATGATGAAATAAGGATCAGTTTAATATGGAGAAATGGACTGTTTGAAAGAGAGGGAAACGATGAAGGATCAAGAGGCAAAGAATTGCTGATTGATCACCCATCATGACATAAAAACAGGAAAGAGACAAAAAATAGAAGAA